TGAGAAAAACGTCTCAAACTCGGCTTTGAATTTCCCGTTCTACCCGTGGAAAAAAGCGCAATGGTCAACAAGCCGTGTACAAAATTTTTTATCACGAGGGGGCTTACGTTTCCCACAAGGGAAAAATTGCAGTTCCAATAATTGGTCCATGGACCTTTTTGACTTGGAGATGCTGCTAAAGGATTGCAGTAAGCTAGGGAAGCTGTTGTGCTGCCAAATCTTCTCACGATCATGCTATGATTGAAATATGATGTGTTTGGTCACCAAAAATTTATTTTTCAAGGCCATTGAACTGTTGATCCACGAAACAATCTCATCGAGGCCTCTAAACTCATTTAGAGACGTTCATATGCTCAGAATTTATCATAGAAAAAGTCTACACCTAGAAGCTGGACAAGCGGCAATGGTTCAACCTATGCGGCTCTATCCCATTTTCCCACTCGGGCCAACTCCAAAAATACTCAAGTTGGGTTGTTTAATGTGGAGTTTTGGAAACTGAGCTTCAAAGTTGCAGTTGTTAATTCAGACCAATCTGGAATCTACGAGGAGCTAAAGCAGTCTTGGTCCAAGAGGCCCTAACTGCAACACTCTCTGTTACCAAGGCTGTCCATTTGTGTCAGATCATGGAAAAACTTTAGCCCACCTGGAATGGTACGTGAAGATTAACAGGGCCCGGTAAGGTGGTTACACAGCTTGCAATAAATGTTAAACCAATTATGTTCATAGGGATGGGCCAAATTTGGAAAATTTGTCGAAACTTATGTCACAGAAGAAATTATTACACAATGGTTTTGGGCTTTATTTAGCATGTGATTGATTGATATGGGGAAATCTTAGAATTCTTGGGCCTCAGGTGTGTAATCACAATCAGACTAGAAAACCTAAAAATCTAAAAATCATGGGCTATACACATTGGAAATGACCATTCAACTTTAAACCAATTGCATGGAGAGCCCTTACTTGGCCCAAATAAATGCCTGCCTGTACCCATCACATGTACTATTATCATTTCATTACTGCTATCATTTTTGACATGATGGCAGTAAAAGAGGAATTATCAACCAATGCAGTCTGTCACCATTTTCTTTCTTAAGGTTAGTAGCATCTATTTTAACTTTTTTTGTCAATTTTTCCTCTCATTTTTCCTCTTTTGTTGTCTAGTTCGCCCTATATATGAAAGAATATTGCTTGTATGTCAGGTTTTTATCTATTTTGATAGATAAAATGTCGTGAGAGTAAAAAGGAGAAAGTTGCCACGGATTGATGGATGATGACCTCCCATTCTATCTCCCAGGGAAAGCACATGGAGAGTTTCTTACGGAGCAAACTTTTGACTAAATCATCTAACAACTAGGGCCATGAAACCCTGAAATCCTACCAATTTAATTATCATCTAGCTTTCTGGCTGACCTTGGAAGGTCATCCAGGACAACAAGTTTGTGATCTCTGTCAGTTGAAATTAATGTTTGTAAGTTAGCCACATGCTGATCTACATGAGCTTGGTATTTGAGCAATGTCCAGAGTCCTTTCCATATAGTACTATTATTTTTAAAATTTGATGAAAATAATGTATTAATTAAATGAAAAAAAAAACATCTTTAAAATAATATTGTACCTATCCTTAAACAATGTCTGCAGACATCCGACTGAACCATACTTTTATTACCTTTAATTCAACAATAATATATGTGGATCGCAACACTGCAATTAAAGGAAAATAATATCGATGCAGAAAACACAGTCTATGATTCTATGCTATAGAGCATAGATTACTAGATCAGCTGTACAAAGTTGGAAAGGCCTGACAAATTAGGCATGGTGCCTACCCTTTTGATGGTTGCTTTACACCGTTTTTACTCCCAATTAATTAGTTGTGTTCCAACGACCAACTGCACCATATAGTATAGACAAAGAGGTGGTTGGTTGATCGTTTCAACTCCAACAAACAATTTTCCTGTGCAGCACATGTAGCCCATGACACTGTGTTTCCTACGAAGGAAATTCTACAGATCATCAGTGTGCTCTTCCATGGTCTTGGTTTCTTTTCTTTTTCATGACATGTAATGGTTGGTCTCTGTGACCTTTTGTGAAATTTGGAAAAGCTTTTGCCTCTTCTTCATTCCATGGTCGCAAAACAAGCCTCTCTGATCCACTTTTTTTTCTCTCTTTAATGCATCCACCATGGAATTAGTACCTTGAAAGTCATATAAATTCTTGGGTTGATTATGATGATGAGATTCTTAGCTTATGTTAACTTATCTTTAGAGTACAAAAGCACAGTTTAAAACCAGATCATTAAGTAAGACCTGTAAAGTTGGAGAGACAAGTTTGGGGTATAATTGGCCTTTCTTAATCCGCTAAGGAATCCTTGAATAACTTTAGGCGGATGCAAGCTTCATTCCATTCACACTACTTTTTTCCTCCTATTGGATGCTTTATACAGAATTTAAGGGAAAGTCATGAGGAATTCAAAAAGAAAAACGATTTCATACTGTATTTTTACATTGTGAAGAGACCAAAAGAGAAAAAGGTTGATTGGGGGGAGGGAGGGGTGTTTGTGCTTAAAGCTTTGAAAGGATTCCAAATGGCCGGAGAAGAGCCTTTCAGAGAGTCTCTTTCTCTCCTTCCATTTGATTTTGTAGTGTGAACTCGTCTTTGCACCCTTAGAAGAAAGAATAAGAATATTGGAAAGACTGATTTTTTTCGAGGGTGGTGGCCTGGCTTGGCCCCCCAAATTCCCCTTATCTCAGACCCTCAGGGGATAAGATTGCGTGTGGTTTCATGTGCCAATATGGTGGGCTGACAAAACCAACTAATGGTTTCCGTATTCCAACGTGTCACAACCCTTTGCACATAACCAAAATCTTAGAACCTACTTAAAGGGGTGGGGAGGGATATCCCAGATGCTTCCATTTTAATTATTCTCTTTAATCCATATATTTAGCTTAAATTCTAGTCATTGGCTAGGGTATCCTCCTTCATAGTAAAAGTTCCCATATTTGTATCAATAATCTTACAAAGCGAATAATATCATTAGCAATTCTTATCTCAATATTTTTGGACAATATCAAACAATACCATACTCTTGCTTTGTTTTACAAATATTCATATATATCAATAATACATGCATTGAAGCATGTATACAATGGATGATGAGTGGTTTTAGGCATCAAAAACTTTTCTTCCTTGGATCCATTTGGCAGGGGAGAGCTTTAGTCAACTGATTAATGTATTCAATTATTGAGCATACTTGTTCAATCCCAATTGACATTTGAAAGAACATTGCCATGCAATTTAATTAATGACAGCATCTCAGAATTTTCATAGCTGATGTAGATTACTGAAACGAAATTCTATTGCCATCGCTGTTGGAGCATGTTGTTGGGTAGAGTCCTTTGCTGAGCTTCACATGAAATTTTCCACTGCTCAATAGATTAGAACCCCAATTATTTGAACCCCATTGGTCAACCCTTGAATTTTGATTTCATTTGGGAGGCAATTCGGTGACCCCATTCTTTCCAATCAATCCATTGTCTGCATCCAATACTGACACCAGAAAATATTACCCCGGGGCTATACGTCAAACCCCGTATAATAATTCATTTGGTCCCATTATGAATTTGTTCATCTTTTACTCTTTGATTTTTGTCCAATTTCCCCAATGGTGACTCCCCAACTAGCCCAAAAAGAATGAGACTTTCTTTGCTTTCAAGTTGTGTAAGAAATTTTCTCCAATAATGTGATTGAGGGCATAATTCAAGTCTTAAATCACATATGAAAATGTCTTAAATTCAAACTTATTCAGCCTTGATTGTACATAAAGAATAGAATAGGAAAAGCAGTACAAATTCAGATTTATGTCTTAATCACAATCTTAACTATATGTATAATTTCTACCAGAACAGATTGACTGTAATATTCATGGTATTTTCTCAATTGAGTTAGTGATGGGTTACCTGTTTCTTCCCTCTCTTAAATCCTACTCTACCAGGTCAAGAACATGGGCACGCAATTCAGTAAGTAATTTTCAGTTCTTGATCAATCAGGAACCAGCTCTTGTTTCCATTAAATTACAGAACTTTGAATCCTAAACAACTTGAAACCAGAAAGAAAGCGAAACCTGTTCAAAGAGTTCTCAGTTTTAATGTATTGAAATTTGTGTAAGGGTAGATCGTTACCTAATCATTTTCCTTAATTTTTATCGGATTATTACTGCATAGACCAATAAAAAAAAAGGTTTATAACTTTACAAACGACTTTATAAAAATCTCAAATATTTATTTTTAAATTATTATAATTATAATTATAATTTAATGGACATGTGATGGTAACCCTCTAACCACCACTTTGTAAAGTTGCTAATTTTTCACTTTTATTTCCTTAATCTAATTTGGTTATGGGCTTTTTAGCTCCTTAGCTTTGCCTTTTTGATTTATTAACTCGATGGGTGACATAAAGCACAAGAAGGCTCCATCCATGGAAATCCCAAGACCCCCTAATCTTACATTTGGATTTTTGTGCAAGTCAAATGCAAAACTCAATCGATTGATGAGAAGTAAAAATCAGACTCACCAATTTTTTCTATAGGCACCCAATAGGACAGCTCAAGATGATGTTGCTTTGATCATAAATAAATTAATAAATGAATAAAAGGGACAGGAAGAGAGACCTCTCAGTGGTGATCAAATAAGACAGCCTTTACCCATCTTTACCTAAATTAGAGATTCAATGTCAAGCACAGAGTGTGGACAAGTTGAACATGAAAAATTCTCCACAACCAGAGGATGAAAATACAAATATAAAACAACGGAATCAATTGGATTCATTTGTTCTGCTTTATAAAACATGGCCCCTTCTCATAGATTACATCAAAATTTTGTTTGTTTAACACTGTTTAAGAGACCAGGAATGATGCCTTAACAGACAGATTAAGGGCAGAGACACGCGAAGATGCAGAATCAGACACCAACACATGCACACCATTTATATTTACACAAAGATACAGAAAAATAAAAACAAAGGTACATTAAATATATATATTCAGAAGACATTAAAGCTTTTTTTTTTTTTTTAACTTTACACCCGGCCTACTATTATGAAACCAAACATAAACTGGAAGCTCTCCAACGGCCATTGCTAGGAAAAAAAGTACCAGCAAAGACCAGTCTGGAAGGAGATACCTCTGATCTCTTACACATATTAACATGATACAACTTCTAAACTGACCCCTAATTAATCAAAGCTCCGTAGCACCTCTACAAATTTCAAAAATTTCATTGTAGAGGCCTAGTAGAGACACTAACACAGCCTACGTGACAAGAGAAAAGATACTTGACCTAAGAAAATACAAGAAGATTACATGATAGTAGGTTTTTTTTTCCTAAGACTCAGATAGTTCCCTGATGGCTTCCCAATCAATTTCCACTGAAGGGTATTTTTCCAAACCAAAGTTTTCATTGTCTTCCCATTTTGAATCAGAGAAATCCAAGAAAGAGATGTCAGATTCTGGTGAAGAAGATCCTGCCAATGACTCATCAGATAACTCCGGGGATGATGATGATGACAGTGAATTTTCCACTTTAGGATCAGAAAATCTTGGAGACTGATCAAACTCCTCACTCTTCACAGGGTAATCAACCTCAACCTTTGGCTGTGAAGGAGCAACCACTGTTAGGTTTTGAATCAGAAACAGAACAAGTCTTTCCTGAATTCCCTTGTTTCTGCAAGCTCTGGCAGATGGCTTGCAGCTTTGCGTCAACTGAGGAATGGAGAGGCTTGTAATCACCAAATTCTCCAGAAACATGAGCTCCTTGGTGCTTGAGGTGAGGGAAGTTGAGCCTGGCAAACTCTCCTCTTAGCTTATAAGCAGCCTTGTCATAAGCCAAAGCTGCTTCTTCTGCTGTATCAAGGTGCCAAGCCCAAAGGCGGGTTCGGTTCTTGGGGTCTGATTTCAGCTACCCATTTGCCCCAGTGCCTCTGTCTCACTCCCCTGTAGAGTTTTGTAGGCTTGGAAGGGGTGGAGACATGTTTCATCGGGACAGCTTTTGGGGAAAGAAAGTTGAGCCTTTGGTTTTGAAGGGATGATGTAGTAGCCATAGAAGCAAGCTGCTGCTGCTGTTGTTGTTGGTAGATTTGGGCTTGGATTTGGAGGATTTGAGAAGAGGTGAGTTGGTTAAGCCCAATTGAACCTGTCTGCTCGAAACCCATCAGGTTGTTGTAGTTAGAGAACCCATGATTAGAAAACAAGTGGGTGCTCGATGGGGAGCAAAATTCAGGGTACATGTTAGGCTGTGAAGGAGAAGTGAGTTTCGAGTAGGAGCAAGAAGGGTAAGAAGAAAAAGAACAAGTTGGAGAAGAAGAAGAAGAAGCAGCAGCTAAAGGAGAGGTAGATGAAGCACTTTTCATAAAAGGTTCAAGTGCTTTCATTAACTCTTCTCTAAAAGGATCTGAGAAAACTGAGCTGCTGCTGCTATTATACATATCTATAGCTGCTGCCATATCCAAAAACTAGTTAAAACTTGAAACAACCTGTTTCTTAACCAAAACAAAAGAACAGGCAAAATAGTATGATAAAAAACAACCTTGAGGGACCAAAAATAAGCCCTCTTAGCTGAAGAAAATAAAGACTAAAACTTCGTAACTAAAAAGAACAAAAGAAAACAGAAACCTGGATCTCTATTCTGGATCACCTGGCTTTCAAAAAACACAACCCTGGTAGGTTTGTTTACCTCTGCTTTTGACACAAATATTTCAGCTTGAAAGACAGACGATGACAGAAAGGGATTCAGAGAAGCGGGGAATTACAGAAGAAGGGCCGAATTAAGAAGAAAACTGAAATGATCAAACACTGTTGCAAAATCTAAAAACACTCTCAATTTTTTTTTTTTTTTTTCTGAGGCCTCACTTTGGTGTTTACGCTCTTGCATTTCCAGGGTCACCATATCTCTACTTATATAACCCCCTACCCCCATGTGGCTTCTCTTTCCCTCCCTTGAGATCTTTCACATTTTTTTTAATTAACTTTTATTAGTCATTACTTAATTAATTTAATTTATCCCCCTCCCCTCCCCCTTTTCTCGTCAACTTCAAAGATGCCCTTTATTCCATGAGAGCTACCTCAATGGGAATTTGCCATGTACTTGAAAGCAGAACCGGCAGGTGTCGGTTTCTAAATGGTTGCTTTACAAGTGTGAAGGCGTGATTGGTTGGACATTCTGTTGACTGCGATGAAAATCGAGTGCAGCTGCTAGCCCTTTTGTTGGTCTCCTTTTGGAATTTAATGCGATTTTCTGTCCTTTAGTGTTGGTTTGCGGCATGCTCTGCCTCTGCCACTTTGCCACATCAATGAATATTTATCATCATTATCACTAATCTTTTGGGCAATGATTTTGTGTTTTTGGTACACCATACTGATAAATTTGAGAGCAAAATGGACCTAAAGATTTGAGTAAGATAATGAGTCATAGATCATGGCTTAAATTAAAAAAACAAAAAAACAAACACTACGAGATTCTTTTAACTAAATTATATATATAGCATCTTTTATTATTTTTCAAAGTTAACTATGAAATTTAATATAATTATATAAGATAATTTACAATTAAATGTTACTTTTAGAATATCATAGCTCTAATATCTTGAATCAAAACCATTTACTTAGATTATACAAATAATTAGGATTTAGAAACAAAACCACCTAGGTTTTTACTCAAGTAATTGAGAATTGTACTTGATGTTAAAAAAATAAAAAACACTGAAAGGAAGGACTAGGACTCGTGATGCTGCTCACATGCAAGGTGACAAAAACCATCTAAAGTAAATCATTGTTAATTGCTACCCACAAACAACAGTGTCTAACCCGAATTACAAAAGAGTTTAATTAGATCATAATTATTAAATCTTCAAACTCATCTCCAGAGCAAAGTGAGATTAATTAGTAATAAAATCTTAAAACAAAATAAATAATCCAATGTGGATGTGGCAGTTTGTGGAGGAATGAAGCAATGAAAGGTTGAAAGATTTTTTTTTTCTTTTTTGTTAATGTAAGGCCAAAACGAAAACCTTGGTTAAAGTTGTAATAATACTAACTAAAAAGTATTAAATTAAAGACAAAATGAGTGTAATCATGTGACCACTGAAGACAAAAACAGGGAGCGAACGAGAGAGAGAAAGACAGCATAACGTCAATTGCGGCGCCAGGCTGAGAGGGAAAGGGGATTATGGAAAGAGAAGATCGAGCAAATGGGCATTGGATTCTTCAGATTTGTGAAAGGTTGAAGCTTGAAAGGCCAATTAGGCTCTGCCTCCATCACACATTTGTATGGATCTCTTTCTTTTTTAATCTCTTTCTCATCTTAACTAACCTTGGTCAGTGTCGGCTGAGTTAAAATTGAACGTCAAATACTACACCGTTTCATATCCTTTTTATCTCATTGTTCACTCAAAATATATTATCATAAAAATTATTAATAAATAAGAGTTAAACAACACAAACTAAACCACTGTGACTGTTGGATTATCTAATGGTCAAAAAATCCCTTCAGTTCTTGTATTATTTAATTTTATTTAATTTAATTCATGTACTCATAATCAAAATAATTTAATCTTTTGATTTAGAGAGATTACATCATTTTAGTCTCTTCTTATAATGACATTCAATTTTAACTTTAAAAGATAATATCACGTTCACGTTAACGATAACATCAGTGCTGACGTATCACATTTTGATGATGTGATATTTGAGATTATAACGTGGCATGCCATATGACATCGAATATTGACGTGGTAATGTCATGTAGTACTATACGATGACATGACGCTGTCATGCATGTTAATACCACGTGATAGATAAAAAAAATTTAAAAAAATTATACCATGTCATAAAAACTAAATTGAATGAAAATATATAGTATAAGAATTGAATTGAACAAAATCAAAATGTTGAGTGACAAAATTGAAAAAAAAAATTAAAAAATAGAAATCTTTAAGTAGATTATTGATATGCTTATTAATAAGTCAAATATTTAAGTGTAAAAGATTTAAGATGTTAGAAAATATATATACATATGTTATTACTTGATTATTTGATTCTATAATATGTAAATTAATTTATATTTTTTATAAAAATTAATTTTTAAATTTTTTTATAAAAAAATTTAAAAAGAATTTCATACCTAAAGTCAAATTTAAATGAATAATTTATATTTTGTTAACATAAAATAATATAAAATGACTAAATAAATTCTTTTTTCTTGTATTTATAATATTCTAAAATTTTAAAATTTATTTAACTTAGTTTTTAACTTGGGCTAAAGTCAAATTAGCAAAATATATTGATTAGTTTTTTTTATAAAAAAAATGAAGAACGGAGATATGAAGTTAGTGATGATTATAAAAATAATTTTTTATTTTAACTTACTTAATTTGGACATGACAAACTTCTTATTATAACTATAGAATCTGAGCTCTACCATATCAAATTTTTATTTACTTTTTATGTTTTATTTTGTTTAAATTTCAAGTTATATTTTTTAAGTTGAAATTTCTTAAATTAAAAATTACATTTATGGTTGATAAAGTTAAATATAACTGTAAATATTTGTATCATTTTATTTTATTAATTTTTTTTTTGTAGATCCAAATTCATAATTTAAATTTAAATTTAGCAGAATTTGATTGTGGTATTTGATTTAAATAAAATTATTTTATAAAAAATTTTGAGTTAATTTAAATAAATAGGTAAATTGGGTAAGATTTGAATAATTGTAAAAGAATGTGTATTTGTAAATTGTGGAAGTTGTAACTAATTTAATATATTTTACTAATTTGAGTAAATTTAAATAAAAGGTAAATTAGGTAAGAATTGAATAATTTCAAAAAAATGTGTATTTATAAATTGTGAATGTTGTAACTAAATCAACATATTTAATCATTATATATCATTTTATTTTAATGTAATGCAAGTTATTCATCTAAATTTGACTTTAAGTATGAAATTTTTTCAAAATTTTTTTATCCAAGGATAATTCAAACTTAATTTTTGTAAAAAATATAAATTAATTTACATATTCTATAATCAAATAATGAAGCAAGAAAATATTTATATTTATTTTTTAACATCATAAATCATTTACACTTAAATATTTAGATTATTGATAAACATATCAATAATCTACTTAAAAATTTAAACTTTTCAAATATTTTTTCAATTTAGTCTCTTAACATATCAAATTTACTCAATTTAATCCATGTGTTATATATTTTTATTCAATTTAGTCCCTATGACATGATAATTTTTTTTTTAATGTTTGATCTGCCATATGACATTGATATATCAGCATATCAATACCACGTTAGTACTATCACATCATTATATAGTGTCACATGGCATTGTCACATCATCACTCGATATCACGTGGCATGCCACGTGATCATCTCAAACATCATGTCACCAAAATATGACATATCCGTAATGATGTTAGCATTGATATCAGTGTTAACATTATCCTTTAACAGTAAAATTATATACCTTTAGGAGAAATGACTAAATTGATGAATTTTTAAAATCAATAAACTAAATTATTTTGATTTTAAATGTAGGTGTTAAATTGAATAAAATTAAAAAGCACAAAGATTGGAGAGGGCTTTTGACCATTATCTAATATTTAAACATTCAAGAACATAATTATTAATAACTTCTTTTTATTATAAACATGAATGGATATAATTTTTTTATATGTTATGAGACAAGGTATCATTGTTAAAATAAAGTTAGTTAAGAAATTATTATAATAATAATTTTATTCAGTAATTAATAATTATTGAAAACGATTTTAGTTATGCAATGAAAAATATCTTTCAACTTTCATGTGACGTTTATGTATTTTAATTTGTTGTGCATTTTTCAAACCCCTTTTTTTTTTTTTTTTGGTATTCCAATAATGGAGCTTGATATTATTAAGGGAGGCCGTAGACTGAATCTTGATAGGAAAAGAGGGAAATAGGGAGTGAAAGAGACAATTCCAAATATTGGAGGAGGAGGAGGCGGGTAGAAAAGGTTACCATGGTTAAGCGAAAACGAAGTCAAAACGTTGAGAAATGGGTTGCGGGGGGCCTGCTCGAAGTTGCGTAAGAAGGAAGCGAAAAGGATCCCAAATTCCAAAGCATTGGCGTGTGTATGTATGTAGGACATGGAACCTACCTTTGACGCGATTACACGTCGTTTCAGACGTGGACATCACTTACAAGCCACGCCTCCCCTCCCTCCTCCTCCTCATCTTTTTCTACATTTCTCTGCTTCAAATATTTAAAAATACAGATGTCGTTTATTTCTGCTCCAATTCTTTTTCTATTTTATTATTTTCTTTTTATATATTTTTGGACCTTCATTCCCATGAATAGTTGAGTGATTTTTACACACGTAAACGAATAATAAAAATTTAAAAATGTATTACAAAATCATGAAAAACAATAACAAAGCAAGTCGGACCCATTGATTTCATCTAAATTTTTATTTTTTGCATTACGTTTTATTTAGGTGAAAATTGATATCAATTCTAAATTTAGTCATATTAACTTATTACTGAGACTCAATGAACCTTATATGTTGAGTTAATTTTTCTTTAAATTAACATAAAATAGGTCATATAGTCTATTAGAATCGAGAATTTGAGATTAAACATATCAACAAAGAATCATGATAAATCAAATCCAAACTTAGTAATTGATGATTTTACCATCAAACAATCAAATCTTAATTATTAAGTTAACTCTTCTTGGCGTAAAAGGTTGATTAAGTTGAAGTTTTAAAAACACCTCTTGGACACATACACCAGACCACCTTCTTTTTCTTCACTTGTTTTTGGTGTTTGAAACTTTCGGAATTAACAAAATGAGTCCGAAAAGGAGCATGTCAGAGTTTAGGGATGGCTTCAAG